AAATTTAAATCTGGCTAGAAAATGTGTCTACTCTCAACATTTAATGTTCAACCCTACCTCAAACATGATGCAAAAGAATAATATTTTTCACTTGAATTTATTAGCAATTAAATTTCTTACTTAAAATTTTCATGTGATTGTCCCTATGAATATTGTGATAATTTGATATAATATTGTTCCTCTGATTCTCTTTATATTCATTTTCATTATGTTTCACTGAAAATTAAAGAAAACAATCAAAACATTAATACTTTGTTTGGATGGAGAGAAAACATAAGGAAAAATATGAAAGAAAATGACTTTTTCCTTATTTGAATGAAACATAAAAAGTGGAAGAAAGGAAAAGTGGAGGAGAAAATAGGATGTGAGACCCATAATATTTTCTCTCCAGGTTTTCTCTTCACAAATGGAAAGATTTTGGGAGAAAAATGTTTATTTCACATCTACCCTTCTACTTCTTTACACATGACCCTTTGCTTCATCATCTTCTACCCTACATTTTTCACCTCAGGATCTCAGCACTCTAATTCACATTATATTTGCTACACCACAATAAGTGATAGTAATTATCATAAAAATAATTTAATGCTAATTCACATAATTTTTATGATTATAAAAGTCTTTGGCTTAAACATTAATGACCTTGCATTGCTCTATCTCAGCGCCATACATGTCTCTATCTTCTCTGCGAACTACATATTTTTATAAATATGTGCCTTTCATGTTTTTTATAATATTATGTATATATAATTTATTTCTTATGTTCATGACTATATGTAAAAGCAAAATGCACTTACTAACCAACCAAGAGCTGGATTGAAATTTATTTATTTATTTATTATTGTATTCAATTTTAAAAATATCCACTTTTTAATTTTTTTGTAAATAAAAATAACATATTTTTACTAAATTTTTTGGTTTTAAAATATAATAATATGAAAGTAATTTTTACCAACTAATTTGATTTTATATTATTTTAATGATCTTAATTATTCTTCTATAATATTTACTTTCAATATATTTTTATACACATAATTACATTAAACATATATGTTTCAATTTAAGGGTATTATAGTCATTGTGATATTTGCTCATTTTCTTTTCTTTCTATTTTATTCTGTCCATCCAAATATAAGGAGTGATAATATTTCTTTCTAGTTTTCTTTTCTCCCATTTTCTTTTTTCTTAAATTTTCTTCTCATCCAAACAGAATGTAAGATTATTAACCTTGTTTAAAAATTTAATAAGTTTAATACTTTATTCATAATAAAAATAAAAATTTTAATAATTTATTTTTACCAACATTTAATGAAGGTAAAAGAATTATGATAAAAAAATTAATAACATATACTTTATAAATAAAATAAAATGAATCTTCTATCTGTGCTATATTATTGGAGAGATATTTTTTTTAATACATAACCACGAAAAAAAAAGAAAATCAAGACATGTCTTGTCTCATAAGGATTTGACAAGTTGGAGCTAGATAATCAAAAGTCTAAATATTGAGGCTATCGTTTGGTGCTTGATGAACTAGTCAATTTGCACATTTATTGACTTTTTCAAACACATGATTGAAAATAATCATCCAATCTTCTATGGCAAGGTCTTTGATCTTCTTTATAATTTTAGTGAGGGAAATATTATGGTTGACGTCGCTTTGAATAAGCGCCAAAGTTTCAAGAGAGTTAGAGTAAATGTTTGCCTTAGTGAGCTCATTCCTCCTACGAAGTTTGAGACCCTAAAAAAAATGCCTAAAAGTTTAGTAGCAATACTAGGATGACAACTAAAGTATTTGAAAAAAAAACTTTTAACCTGTTACTTTGGTCATCTTGAATTAGGCCTCCATAAGTGATAGCACTATTAATGGAAATTGATCTATCTATGTCTAATTTAATCCAGCTAGGTTTAGGTAGGATTCTTCTTGCTAGAGGTCTGTCATGGTCTAAATCCACGTTTCCTAGCCTTGATTGAAGATTAAGATCATTAATAATGTCTTGTGTGTAAGTGAAAATGATATCTTTGACAAGGATGTGTTCTTCAAAATAGATTGATTTGCAATGATCTTTCCAAATGTTCCAGCATAAGTGAGCAAAAAGTTTCTTCCATGGGTTCTTTTAGTATTCAAACCTTTAACATTATTCTTTACATTCTAAAGTATCCAACCCTATAAGGAAAGGTAAAAGAAAGTGTTAAGTTTGGAATACTTAACCAATTTCATCCATACTTCCTTTGACTTTATGCAGTTGCACAAAATGTTGATGAACAAGTCAAGGGAATTACACCTAGAGGAGCAAGTTCTTATGCAAGTGTTTAAATCGCCAACCTTGACAAATTTGGTATGGAGGCAGTCCAAAGAAAGGATTTAATTTTTTTTCATAATTAAGTAGGCCATTTCCATATTGGAGCACAAATTTCAAAATTGGTATTTCCTCTACGATTTTCAGTAGTTTCATAGGTAGATTTAATAAAGAAATTACCATTAAAAGAAGGTCTCCAGAGAAGAACATCATTATCTCTATGAGGGTTAGGAAGTTGAGCAAGTAAAATGAAACTAACTACATCATAATGAACATAACACTTTATTATTATTTTTTTTCAATATTCTATCCACTAGTAGTAGAGCAAAAATCCTAGACTCTGGCATGTAGGATGGCATAAGCTGTAGGGGAGGTATAAGCAATAAAAGCTTAAGGAGAGGAGGCCACTTATTATACTAGAAGAATATTTGATCTTCCTTGTCGACTTTCCAACCACTATGAGTTTTAAAGGTATCCTAAACTTTACAAATACTAGTCCAAGTATAAGAAGAGAGGCTAAAATTGAAGACCATAGGGATAGTAGGCTTATTACATTTATTTATCGTGAAGCACCTGAACCCAAAGGCAATTGGGCTTTGTAATAATACCTCAACATAGTTTCATAATGAAAGCAATATTTGATCTTTGATATTCTTGAAACCAAGGCCTTTACTTTTCTTCTCTTTAGTAACATAGTCCCAAGAAAGAATATGTGATTTTTTAGAACCACTAGAAGAATCCTAAAGGAAGTTACAAGAACTTTTTTTTAATTTAGATAGAACATTATTTAGGAGGAGCATAATCTGCATGGCATAGTTGGGAAGGGCTTAAAGAATAGACTTTATGAGGGCAAATTTCCCTATAATGTCAAGATAACGACTCTTCCAGAAAGATAAACGTAAATTAGTTTTTCTAATGAGGGGAGCAAAAGTTAACTTAGACGCTCTTTTATGCAAGATAGGAATTCCAAGATCTTTGCTAAGGTTTCTAGTGAGGGGAAATTCCTAAATCATCGTTGATATGAAAATGCTTTATTAATGTTAACATTTTTGGGACAATGGAGCTTTGATTTAGCATTATTGATTTTTTGCCCTGAAGACTTGTAAAAGTCAAGGAGACAGATGGACTAGTAAATTATCATTGAAGTGTTTACAAAAAATAACAAATCATCACCAAAGAAAAGATAGGAAATAGGAGGCCCATTAATTACAAGGCTAATTGGTTTTCAATCTTTCTCATCAATATTATTAAGAATGCAATGACTTAAATGTTCAATGCAGAAAATAAAAAGATAAGGAGAGAGAGGATCCGCTGTGTGATGCCATGAGTAAGATTGAATTCATGCAAAGCTTCTCCATTCCAAAGGACTTTCATTTGTGCAATAGAGATGGCTACCATAATGATTTTCCTGAAATGAATATTTATCCTAATATCTTGAAGAGTATTCTTGATGAAATCGTAAAAAAGTTTGTCGAAAGCCTTTTCAAGGTCCACTTTAAGAGCCATGAAATTCCTTTTTCCAGTTTTAATTCTCATAAGGTGTCTAACTTCTTAGACAATAATAATATTATCACTATTTTGTCTACCTTGTATGAAGCTAAATTAGTTGTCCATAATTAGATGATTCATACAAACTCCAAGTTGATTAGAAAGAATTTTGGTGATGATTTTGTAACTCATACTACAAAGTGATATTAGATGGAAGTCTTTCATGTAAGTAGGGTGATTCTTTTTGGGAATAAGTGTGATAAAGGTGTTATTGATCTCTGCAATGGTGCTCGGATCCTTGAAAGCCCACTTGATCAATTTGTAGATCATGTTCTTAAGGTCATCCCTATGGTTATGAATTAAGTCAATGTTAAGACTATCGGGACAAGGAGTTTTGAAAGATCCAATGTTAAAAGCTGCCTTTTTGATTTTATCTTCAGTGACCTCCTTGTGAAAAAATAGAAGTTGGGCAAGGGAGGGTAGAGGGAAGGTACTTTCTGTAATAAGCTTAGTTTCCTGTCATTCGAAGTAAGAGATAGCCAAATTCTTGAGGGTGTTTTGCCCGTAAATTTAGTTACCATCTTCACCTCTAAGGGACAAGACTTGACATATTTTCTTTTTGACCTTGATGAGCAATTCCTAAAGTCAATGACTCTAAAAAAATACATGAGAAGTTTATATGTGTGTGGGCGCATGTATGAAGGACATGAAAAGTTTATCCTTAGAAGATCAAAAGGCCATAGAAATGCCATTGGCTCGATTCACGAGATGCCTTGCGAGGTTGATGGGATGAATTCGCTGGACACTGTCCTTTCTTTGTTTTTTTACGGCTTTACAGTCTTGCTTTGATGCTGTCACCATATAAAAAAATAAAAAATAAAATAATAAATTTGATCATGTATTATTTTTTTAAAAACAATAAATAATTAAATAATATAAAATAGATTATAAATTTTAAAAAATAAAATATTTAATAACTCACTATTAATTTTAATGAATAAATATTATATAAGACTTACAATAACATGTGATATTTTATTAGAGGCTTATTTTTTAAAAATTCATGACATATTTTATATGATTTAATATGCCGTCAGATGTTTCTAAAAAAGTAGCATGTGGTTTATTGACACCTTTACCCAAAAATAAAATCCAAATTTACATTTGAGATTATTTCTCAATTTTCCACTGCCCTTATGCCTGAACAAATGACTTCGATTCTGGCAAAAAAAGAAACAAAGAACAAATGACTTCGCTCCACGTCATAACCCTCTCGATTCCCCGTATAAATAGCATATTCTGTTCGTTCCAATTTTACTCCGATCTTCCTTTTCTGCTCCAAATCTTCACTCCCTCCATCTGTAATTGGGTTGGGTCCGTTCCTGCATTCTCGGAACCTCTCGCCCAGCCCCCTAGATTTCAAACGCCGACGAAGACAATGACGAGTTTCGTAACTGCGAGGAGATTTTTCGCTCAAGGACAGCCTCTTCGATTGAAACGCTGTCTCTCTCTGCTTGCCGAGCAGAAAAGCGACGTCGTCGTCGGCGCTCCCGAATTGCCACCGTTAGATTGGTCTCCACCGCCGTACACCGGCCCCACCTCCGATGAGATCCTCGCCAAGCGTAAAGAGTATCTCAGCCCTTGCCTCTTCCACTTCTATAAGACTCCCGTGAGTACGCGTCACACCCGATTATACCTCCTCCGACCATTTTCAACGCCTGATTGGTTTACCATATTTATTGTGCTTTTTTTTTAAAAAAAAAAAAAAAGAAGTAAGTTAGTACTTTGATCGGTTCAGTGTTCCGTTTATATGGTCTTTAACTTCCATCACCAGTACAATGATCACGTTTGTAGTGGAGAGAAATTATGATATGGTTCGATAGTCTTGCTTGATGACCAGTATTTGACTATCAGGGCTAATTATAAAAATAAATTGCTGTCTATCGAGGTACGGTGTTCTCAAAATGAAGTGACCTGTGATGTGAATATTGACAGAGTTCATTTTTCTATCGGCAGCCAAGTCTCGCTATTTAACTGTCATATTATCTTCCTTCGACTGCTTATATAATTTGTTGATAAATTACTCAAGGTGAATAGTGTATAGCATGCATTGATGATCAAAGTTACTCTGACTGATTGGAACAATAAATATTTTGCGCAAAATATTAAGTGAAGAAAAGTGATCAAATTAAACTGTGGATGTGCCATAAAGTGGGACCGTGACTGTGAATTTTTGATGATGGTGGGAATGGCAGTTACACGTGGTGGACGGGAGAAAGCAATACTTGTTCGACGAGAAGGGGAAAAGGTATTTGGATGCGTTTGGAGGGATCGCTACGGTGTGTTGCGGGCACTGCCATCCTGACGTGGTGGCGGCCATAGTGGACCAAACCAAGCGTTTGCAGCATTCCTCGGTTCTTTACCTGAACCCTGCCATCGTGGATTTCGCGGAGGCTCTGGCCTCTAAACTTCCTGGCGATCTTAAGGTGCGCATCTGTTTGATTGCTTTTCGGCCAAAAAGTCTAAATAATTGCTAATCCTCCCGTTCTTGAAATCACTCATCTCATCTTCAATAGATTTCCGAAAGAAATTATATGGCTATGCTCAAATCACCATGATGTGCATACGTATTTAAGCAAAACTTTTGGGTCTTGTTCATAGGTGGTATTTTTTACCAATTCTGGAACGGAAGCAAACGAATTGGCGATATTGATCGCAAGATTATATACGGGATGCCATGACATAATATCATTGAGGAATGCTTACCATGGGAATGCAGCTGGCACGATGGGGGCAACGGCTCAAAGCATCTGGAAATTTAATGTAGTCCAGGTATTTTCCCACCTTTCCGCCCTGATTTAATCCCAGTTTTTAAAAATTTATTAATAATTAATAAATTAATTCAAAGTTAATAAATTTGGAGAGTGACAAATAGGTCTCTCCCTATATTTTGTTGTCTCGTGGTGGACTAGTTGTATTAACTTTATTATCACTTTTTTTGGGGTTTATGTTAGTTTCAAGAGAAAAAAAGTATATTTAACTACTCAATTTGAAAATTTAGGTATCATTGTAGACTATAGTTGTTTTATTCATACTTATCCAACTCTCTCTTTCACTCTTTATCTTCTTTATTGGGATTTTTTGTTTTCATCTCGTCCAGTCTTGATTCGAAATAGGATAGGACATGGGAAAAAATTTGGGAGAATTACGCATAAGTTTCATTCAAGATAATTAATTTCTCTCAAGTCCATTGATAATTGAGTTTAGGAGAACATAAACTTAGTTGTCAATTAATTATTTGTTGTTTTTCTTTTAACAAATAAAAGTGCATTTTTTGGTGATAACTTATGTCAACTAATGATGTGAACAACTTTATTTAAAAAAAAATGGCATGAACAACGAAATATTTTTATTTGGTCTTAGGAAATTTTTTAATGCTTTATTTTCTTCATATTTTGAAATAAAAATGGTGATTAATAAAAGAAAGAAAAATAATAATTTAGTGACTTTTTTCCCTTTCTCTTTTCTATTATTTTAGTCTATTATTCTCGTTTCTTCTCCTGCCAATTCCCAAGTATACCCTTGAGTTGTCATAACTAGCATCACTTATTTTCTTTGACTGACTTATAATATCCGTTGATACTAATCAGTAAAAACAAACAGGGTCCAAAGCATATAAAATGGTGTGAGTGGATTTTCACATTTTTGCAGGCAGCTGTTTCACTCAATAAACCTACGTGCCTGATGGATTGATAGTAACATCAACCCCATTTGATCTTACTGAAACAATTACTGAAGCTCCTAGAAAGCGAAATGTTCATTCTAGTTACTGCATGAATGGATTTTTCTATGCAATTTAAGATTTTACTATGAAAGCGAAATGTTCGTTCTTGTTATTCATTCTAGTCATGAATAGAGTGTTGCATTTCTTGGACACAAAAAGACTTTAATTATTTGTAGCTTATGCTTAACATGGCGTGATAGAGTTTTGATATTATGTATATGTATTCTTCACATGTTAAAACACATCAGAAAGTTTAGGTAACCTTGCCCTTTCTCTAATATGTTACTCTGCTGGTGTGACCAAAAGAGTGGTGTTCATCATGCCGTGAATCCAGACCCTTATAGAGGAGTTTTCGGATCTGATGGAGAGAAATATGCAAGAGATGTTCAAGACATCATTAATTTTGGAACTTCCGGAAATGTTGCTGCCTTCATATCTGAGGCCATACAGGTATGTAGTCTGAACTCTGAAGTCAGCTGGTCATGTTTATTTCTGTGTAGAAACAAGTTTCTTCATGCTTCTTTTGTTAATGGCAGGGAGTGGGGGGCATCGTAGAATTGGCTCCCGGTTACTTGCCTGCTGTCTACAATACTATTAAAAAAGCAGGAGGCCTTTGTATCGCGGACGAAGTTCAGGCCGGATTTGCTCGTACTGGCAGCCATTTTTGGGGATTTGAGTCCCACGGTGTTGTACCTGACATAGTGACCGTGGCCAAGGTAACTTCAGTCAATAAGGGTGTGGATAGACTGAGGATAACAAATAAGAAACGAAGAGAAGAAATGATTTCCATCTAAATCTAAATCAACAAATGTTTATGTCAAATCTTCTCTTCCCTTTCCTTCTCCATTCTCTTGAATCCAAACATGCCAAAGTCTCCCATAAGTCTGACCAACTTGCTTACTGTATATCTTCAACGGCATTAGAAATTTTATACACCGGATTAGGTTGACTTCTTCCTGCTACTAAATAGCTTACACCATGGAATATTTGGGTAATGACAGTGCACCCTGAATTACAATTGTTTATTTAAGTTAAAAAAAAAATGATGCAATTGTTATGTGTTTGCTATTAGTAAAAAAAAAAAAAAATATATATATATATATATATATATCATGTGGAGGAAAGGAATTAGCATTGTTGAGTTGTTAAAAACGCCAGTATGTTTTATTTTCATAGGAGAATTGACAGCAAACATCAGTGGCTCATCTCTTAAGTTTCTATTGGCAGGGTATTGGAAATGGCATTCCCCTGGGTGCTGTTGTGACTACTCCAGAGATTGCAGAGGTTTTGACTCGCCGAAGTTACTTTAACACCTTTGGTGGGAACCCTGTTTGTACAGCCGCAGGATTGGCTGTTCTAAGAGTAATAGAGAAAGAGAAGCTTCAACAAAATGCATTTGTTGTGGGAAGCTATCTGAAAGAGAGGCTCACTGAACTCAAGGACAAACATGAATGTAACCTTTCAACCCTTCTCTTTCCTTCCCCATTTGTTTTAGTTCATTATCAAAAACATTTTCCCATGACTTCTATAATACGCTTTTGTGTGTGTGTGTAAAATTGGCTTGATATCTTTTTTTTTTAAAAAAAAATATATTTACCAACCCTACCTTTTTCCGGTCGAACTTACCAAATCTTTTGGTTTCTTCTTAGTGATTGGGGATGTTAGAGGAAAAGGGCTGATGCTTGGAGTTGAACTTGTCACCGATCGTGAACTTAAAACTCCAGCAAAAGCTGAAACACTGCATGTTATGGACCAAATGAAAGGTGCGTATCTGTGTGTGACTGTGTGTGGCTATTAATCTGCACTTTTGCCTTATTTTCTGCTTGTTCTTAGTAAATTCCCTTGATAATATTGCAGAACTAGGAGTGCTAATTGGGAAGGGCGGTTATTATGGAAATGTCTTCAGAATCACCCCTCCCCTGTGTTTCACCAAAGAAGATGCAGGTTAGTCTTGTATTCCATTTCTGTCTTTTGTTCGCAATCTTTTTTAAATATTTATCATTAATTTCTCTAATTAAAATATGATATGCACAATTGTACATATCTTCTTACTAGATGGCATTATGACTGTTTTTAATAGATTTTTCCAATAAACATGACGACATTTAGATATAAATTTGAAGTGTTTGACTGTTTGTTATTAAGTGCCAGTTTGTTTAATGTTAAAAAAGGTGATTTTAATTAGGCTAAATATGGAAAAAAAGTATTAGGAAGTATGAGTTAGTTGTTGGGAGAATTTAAGCTTAATGTATAATGTGTTGAAAAAAACTTATTTTGATAAGCTATTTGCTATTTGGAATGTGGCTTATCCGAAAAGCTAAAAATAGAATTATTTTTTTTCAACTGATTGGCTTAATTTTTCCCAACAGCTCAAGTGTTAAACTAACTTAAAATATTTTTTCTTTAATTTTTAACAAGCAAGTCCTCTAATAATAATAGGCGATTTTTTTAAACATCATTATCATATAAAATCTCGTTTTGAAAACTTTAATAAATAATGGGACTAAAATTATAGCGGGACTAAATTAGGGTGCAGTTTTTCAATGAAGACGTCAATGTGAATTTTTCTGAAATCAACATTTTATTTTCATCTTATATTTTTAAGTATTAAGCATGATTGGCCAAAAAAAAAAATATCATTAAAGCCTGTGTTTATGGAAGAATTTTTACCATGCATACCTGTAAGGAACTAAATTGTGTCGTGAACAATACTAATCGGTCTTATTTCTGGCTCTGAACTGTGGTTGCAGACTTTCTTGTGGAGGCGATGGACATGAGCTTGTCTAGAATGTGAAGCATATATTAGACTTAACAATAAACAAATGCCTACTACTTCGTATCAAATTAAACATGTATTGTATCATCTCCTGCGCGAGTAAAATCTAGAGATGTTTCATGTAGTCTTGAAGAAGTCATTGTAGTTGGGTGGCATGTCAATAAACGATGAGTCAACAACTCGTTGTCTCTCGGTATCTTGATTTATACGAGATTCTCCACTTCTGCTAGACTTCACCAAATGCCCGAGATGGTAACTTCTATACATTGGTTTTACTCTTGATGCTTGCAAGTCTTTTCTATCCTTTTTTTAACAGCAATGAGGCACGTTACAATCAACTTGAAAGAAAAGAACGACTAAGCAGAACCTAATTAAGGGCCAGCGCCCTCAGATCCTCAAAATACTCAACTCCCCAAAAATGGGGAATACCCTTCAAGGCACACCTCTTCCCTCCATATAATGAGCCCTCTTGGCGAGTTTATCTGCCCATTTAAGTGACCCTCGAAAACAGTTGTATTTCTGATGTCCAATCTGTGGCAATTAGTTCACCATTTTACATCACCCAAGTGGCGTCTGATACAAGAGTCAAGAGAACAGAAGTTAAAAGAAGCACAAAGTCTGTTGATGTCAGAAATGAGCATGTGAATCTGTCCAAGTTTGGGCCCTCTCTTAATTATCAGAAATGACAACAGGCATCAGCCTACTCTTGCCTACATTTTTTCATACCAATTGTCTGATTGTTTCCTCAAGATGCTTCCACATCCACTTCTGACCCTGGTAATCACCGATTTCATATCCCATCCTCTCACATCTGCCTGTGTAAGTTAAACAGTGTAAGCGCTCCTATAATCAACTTCCGAGCAAACAAAACAATTCTAAAAGACATTCTTAGCTCCCATAATCGCTTCAAAAAATGACTCCCGGTAGAATTTTCGGTCTGTGTTTGATGGAGATAACCATATCCCCAGGCTACCAAGCGCGCATATCCCATCGTTCATCGTTGCTTCTTCTTCATATCTGGCGTCCATGTAACCAAGAAGGGGAAGTTTTGAAATTTCTTATATTCCTTACAGGTTATCAACTTTCCATTTGCTTTTATCATGCAGAATAAACTCTTTTATCTCTGAGAAAGGATATAGGGTAAACTGGTTGTAAGTCCCTTCCATAACCATGACATGCTTGCCTGGGTGCACAAATCTCCATCTTCTTCTGTCCTAATAGAAGTTTAAACCATAAACAGATCCTTTTATGATTTTATAAAATGAAAGCAGAATGTCAAAATGTAACAAGGTTTTCTTTTCTTTTTCTGATCTCTCTCTTGTGGGCCAAGCGAGCAGGAAACTTCAAACCGTTCACAAATAATCTCCTCAATCTGACGTAGTTTGGAAATTTCCAACCGCTCTGGCATATTTCAATGGTCGTTTTATTTTAGGGGGAGTTTCAAACAGGGTTTGAGACCAAAAAATTACTTTTTTATTAATGTAAATGCCCTAATAAAGTTTACGACTCTATTGATTTGAACGGGCCAGATGGAGTGAATTTTGGTGGGAAGAAAGTGTCGACATATGGGTTGAAGAAGGAGTACGGATATATAAATATATTTGAAGAGGCAAAATAGTGTCCATGCTTTTCTTCATATGTCTCCATTATGTCCTCATTATATTCCCCAGATCTGACTTCCTTTTTTAATCCCTTCCTCACTAACACACTCATCAATCATCGTCATTCATCCCTCATGCTAATTACCCATTTACCCCCCAACCTTCTTTTTTTTTTTTTTTGCCAAGATACACACAACTTTTATTGACATATAACTTTCATAATCAGCAAGGTTTTTCTTTTGGTGACAACAGTTTTTCAGTGAGTTGACTACCTATATTATAGCAACTGTAAATGCAAGTGTGATTTTCAAAACCCCCTGAAGAGAGAAGCCCACGGATTCAGGAGTGAATGTCTTGCTGCCACAACAAATAGCAAATCAAAATGAACAATATATATTTCTTATAGAGTTACAACTAAAAAATCAGATTCTTAATTACAGGATCAATCCAGTTAAAAATCACATACGAAATGAAACGACTCCATTACAAGATCATGATTAATATATAGTGTATATATATGGTATTCTGTTGTCCCGGTCACAAAATGAAATCCATGGCAAGGGCATTTTAGTAAACCCAACATTGATAGGTCAAGATTCATGAAAAGGCTAACTTACTAGTGTCTAGGTTTTGACAAGGGCGAGAACATCGAGAGGTATTGGGAAAGAGAAAAATGGCTAGATTTACGGAAGCCTTGTGGATGCTGAGCAGCGTAATTCTGAGGAAGTGTATGTTCCTTTATTATGAATATGCATATCTCTTGATGGACTTGGCCTTTCTTCTCACCTCATCCGCACGATTCTCCGGCCAGGTTCTCCGGCGAAGATCGGCAGTTTCCGGCAGGTACTCTCCCATGTCTTCCATGATCGTCAGGCATGATCGCTAGCTAGGATATAGATACACACACATCTGTTATAGACATGTTCGTGGTAAGATTTAGAGTGGATTGCTTGTCATTGATCTTAAAAAATAATGAGAACTCCTTGTCAGGAACGTACTTCTCTTTCTGTGATCGGAAATGTATTTTATTGTTGTTTGTTTCAGTCGACTTGTGTGTTAGTTTGAATTTTTATAATTGTATTCTCTCGATCAACAACTTCATTTTGAGTCTGAGAGCAAATTAATGGCCGGGATAAATAGTGTAAGATTCATATCTTATGGTGGAGTTCAAGCTGCCAATATCTTTAATCTCTGAGTGTGCGGATACAAGAGATAAGTTGCCTAATTCCAAGAATAATGCATATAGAAACTGATTAATTTATAGTTTGTGTCAATTAATAAGTAGATGAACTTTGATTTACCTTCATAAAGTGATATATATAGAATAAGGAGACTAGGATTGGACTCAGGTTCATGTCAAAGTATCATACAAATCCTTTAAATCATGATCATGTATCCTTTCATCGCATGGATGATATACATTTTCATCACATGCTTAATACCGGGGAGCCTTCTAAATCATAGTTATATATATATATATATATATATGCAAAGGACTCGTACTTCTTAACCTGTATATGGACTGCGCAAATTGAAGTTATTATAATTAGTACTGCAATTAGCATATTGATGTTCATGACAAAGTGTAGTACATGATGAGGTTCACTACTCTCACACGCACGCGCACGCACACATTTCCTCTCCAGTATTTTCCTTTGCCATGGGAAATAACACACAAACGCATTTTCAGTAATATCTGAGAGATATAAGAGCTTCCGATCCCAATCATGTGATATGCATCTGCAAAAGATTTATATATAACCTACCCTTGCACACCTTCCTCTCATATATTATACGAAGTTTGAAGAACTAGTTGCACTACTTATCTTGCAAATGTAGTTTATATATTTTATTTTGTGTGTGTATATATATGTTGATTGATGTATTAGTATGTTAATGGCGATTATATGAGAGATCTTTTCACTCTTGTGACTACCTTGTACTCGTGTAAGAGGGAGAAAAATTATAGGGTTTGTTTAGGTTGCAGCTCAGTAAGGTGCCAAATGCATTTTCCATATGTAAGATGCAAATAATGAGTGGACGAATTCCAAAAGAGCTGAAATTGTCGCTTCACTGTGAAATCATTTTGATGATTATGGGTGCATGCATGTTCATTAATAAAAGACCACGTAAAGTGACCCAAATTCCGTCTCACGATTAATGAAATAGAATGCTTCCACTAATGGATGCCTCCTGGTTTTTATCAACTGTCATCTAGCTAGGATGGAGTCTCAACCCTGTTGCAGATAACTTTGGGGTAAATTCCTCGCCCGACTCCGAGAGGGTCTGCTAACGATTAGAGTTCTACTTAACTTACAAGATTCTTAATGTATGTACGTGTTTCGTCATATATGTAATCCGAGTATCCAAGTTTCTCGATCAAAGTGAATATTTTTCTTTATGAGAGTAGCTATTATAAGGAGGTAATTAATAAGTATTAAATCTTCAAACCTGCTATTGCTCATGCATATGATGAAAAGCAGAAATTGTAATAAGTAAATTCATTGAAAGCCCAACTTAATTGTAGCTTTTGAGATGTTTGTCTACAGATCACAGGAGCCCTTTCAATAGTGTTCTACTTGTTGCAGATTACTTCAATTATTAGTTTCATGCGTATCTTGCAAATTAAAAACATGGCTTTGATTTTGGTGCTAATGGGAGCATTCCGTTGAAATAACTTGTAGTTGTCCTTACTAAGCAATGACGCATTCTTTTGAGTCATCGAATGCCTGACTTTTATGAGCTCAATTCATTTAATTTTTTTATTTATTGAAATAAAAACTATTATACTCTTAGGCTTGGTTTGGAGATGGATGGGAAAGATGAGAAAAAAAAATGGGGAAAAGAAAATAATTAAGAATTTTTTTTCAAAAATAGTTTTTTTAATTATTTTTAAGAGTTTTTCTTAATAATTTTTCTTATTATTTTTTCCTCATCCAAACAAATGGTTAATTTTTGGTCCAACACCAATGAACTAGGCTTCTCTTCTATTTTTATAACAAAAGTAAAAGTACTAACATGCAATTTGAATGGATTTAAAGGTCAATAATATTTAGATATAATAGATATTAGGATAAAGATGTAAATTTAACTATCAATTATTTTTTAAAGAATATTAGATAACATATATTATGAAATGATATAAAATAAATCCTGAATTATTAAGACGAAGCATCCAGCAACTTCTGTTGGTTTTTGTTTATTTCTTCCCTCTCCCTCCCCCACCCTTTGTCTCTCTCATAAGTTACTTCTTTTGCCATTCTTCATTTGATTTTTGCAACAACAGAAGGGCCATTCTTCACGTCTTTGATTAGTGCTGAGATGATTTCTTTGTAGGGATCTCATTTGATTCCTTTTGTAGAATGCCACGATACAGGAATTACGTTATGTTCAGAACCTATGAAGCTTCGACGACTTCGACAAGATTGCCGTTGATGCTTCTGTACTTGAAATCGTGAAGAATGGTGCAATTGCTTTCTGTTTCAAACAAAAGTTTGAGATGAAGTAGGTGTGCGAGCACCAGCAAATCGCTGGACTTTTTCTTCTGAAATTTATACTTAACACAATAGGGTTTCTTCAATACAAGTTGTGCACTTGATAGTGTAAATTCCTTTGTTGATCGCTAAGT